GTTTGTCCCGCTGCAGCTAGCTGCACCCGCTAAATTTTACTCTTTTAGCTAGCTGCAGTCAATGGAGAAGCGGGCGCTTCTTCAGCAAGTGCAGCTAGCTTATTTCTTATGAAATTTCATGCTTGGGGTATCTCTTGCTTCAAACGAACTGATAGTATCGTTGAGTGAAAATGTATGCTCGTCTGCTGTCACAACTGAATGAGATTGTGTTGGTGTGAATCACGGACGAGTATCAAGTTGAGTTATTTCTTCATGTACTGTATTTGACTCTCTCATGATCATAGATGATGCTGTTACTTGATCACTTCTGATTAACTGAACACTTAGTTTGGGAGGTAATAATTCTTGAGTAACGGAATGTTCAGATACGTCAATTTTTTTGTCACTTGACAAAAATGGTAGTGAGCTAGCTGCTTTTCGTACTGTAGATTTTACTGCTGTCTGGCGCTTTGGTTCACGATTCGCAGTTCGCGTAACAGAATCACCAACAGCGCTGAGACGATGGCCTATATCAGAAGACAATTCTTGTTGTTCTTCGAGCTGTCGGTCCTACGATTTGTATCCAACCAGTAGTCATGATCACTACAGTAAGTCGAAGAGTTTGTTGTTACCCTATTGAGAGGACGATAACCTATAAAACAAAACTCATTGCTAGCGAAGAAGAGAAACTGATCTTTAAATCTCTCTCAGCAAAGACCTGTATATGTTAAACATAGCTAATGAAAAATAATTCATCTGCGAAATGAACGGTTTAACGCAGCCATACACTAGCTTTTATGCTTTTGTTATGGAAATTCCAAAGATATGCGTTTGCAGTGTGTTATTCACTAGACAAGTGCACTGATGTCTTATCAGAAGACGTTTTTATAAGTATCGATGTTGGTGATAATACTGCTGTATCATTGCTGGGTTTCCCTGCATAGTATAACTTATTACGACACTTGTATGAATATGTTTATTTAAAAGTGATATTTGTAACTGACGTCCACACAAATTGAAATATCCTAATTCTAATCTGTTCGCAATTTTCTCATTTAAAACAGATTTTGAACTGCTTCGCAACAACTGGGCTCCCGCATAGCATATACAACATTTCTGTGATTCTTTCCTAGAATCCTCATCGTTAAGTAGGTAGTGAACTGCATGGTATTGTCTCTACAAATAAACATAAATTACAGAAAAAACGATCTATTAAACGTATGCAAAACAATTAACGTACTCAGAGACTTCATTCAATTCATTGTACAATTGAAGAACATCTGTCCGAATGTTATTCAAATTATTTTTCCATAAGGATTTCAACCGTTGACGTTGAATTAGCCAATTAAGTTTTAATTCTTTAGCCATAGACACAAAAACTAAATCATCTAATCTATCTAATGTGTCTAGACTAGTGGCTTGTAACGCTTTCAAAAAACTGTTTAATATGGCTTTGCGAGGAACCTTGGGCGGGGACATAGAAAATTTGAAACAAATATCAATATGTTCACAATATGTGCTTGTAGTTAAAAAATTACGGTGAAAATATGAGACCGTGATGCAATTTATTCAGCGATATCCTTGTACTACTGTACATAAACACATAGGATCATCAATCATACGTTATCTGAATGATTTATCGATCAATATATTTTTAGTTGTTTCTTTTCTTTTGTAAAATAAGCTAGTATACGTTTTTCAGACGTTCAAACTACACAAATTCAAGACTGTTTTTTCAGATTCTTAATCACGTATTGTGAGATAATCTTAGTGCAAAGAATGAAAAACGAATTTCTGTGAAATCAGAGTGTGAGATAAACATTAGTGATACTGTTTCTTTTACTCATTATCAGAAATAATGTTCGACTCACAATGACCGCACATGAAATTTATAATACATACGCTTACTCTTTCGTTCTTTTTTTGAAAGATGAGGAAAATATCTAGAATATTATATTAAAATAATAGTTCATGTTTGTTTTCTCCTATAAATATTGACAGACATGTGGTAAGCTTGAAGTACACCGTTAAAAGTCCTACTGTTTTTCAAAAAATTCCATTTTTTAACGGTGTACAAAAGAAATGTGTATGTACTTATTTTTTGTACAAATTTGGTTAATATAATCTCTTCAGTAGTAAAAACATAAATCATAGATTTCATTTCTTCAGGTATTTTGAATGTATAACAACATACGTTTATACGTTTAATCTAAGTACAAAACAAGAATGCGTGTCGAGTAAGCAACGTTTTCATTTTATCCCCAACTGTCAATAGTTTTTTAAACTGACAATATGTTTTGTAGCAAAGTACTAATTTGTTCTATTTTACAATTGTTAATAAAAACAGCAACAAACAATGATGATATATTAAACCATTTAAAATTTTCGCACGAATCCGTGATGGATTTAAATACAGGAATAGTATTTCTCCGAGTGGGCACATACATTCATCGTGCACAAAATCTACGAACATTAACATATATACCGATCACTGCAATCGAATGTTTTCTTTTGAACTAGGGATGCTAATTTAAGTGTTACTTTGGAAAATAAATGTAAATGAATCATTTATACTTAAAAAATAAAGATAAATTCGTCATTTATATTTAAAAATGATCCATTTATAAAATAAAGATAATTTTTTATTTATTTATTTATATTTATTTTTTAAATATAAATGATTCATTTACTTTTATCCATTATTATAAATGAACAGTAAAACTAAATTAACACCCCTATTTTGAACACTGATGATTCAAATACGGAAACATGTTCAACAAACAGTACTTCTAGAGTACGATGATTTGGGGGTTTGGACATATTCAGTAACAGCTACAAAGTGGCAAAGAAAATCGCAAAATTGTTTCAAAGTGATGAAGATTTCAAACAAATAGATCTTATTGCACAGCAAACTTGTGCAAACCAGATAGCATCAACAAACAATACCGGACAAATTTTCAGTTTAGCTGATGCAAGTGTTCGGTTAGCTCATGAAGTAGAAACGATTCAAACCGAAACATTAAATATAGAACAACAATTATATACTGGACAATTGAACGACGAAGTTCGGATGCTTGTTTTTACAAATGATTACTAATATGAAACGCTTAAATACCAATCTACTGATTCAAGCGATCAATGATATAAAACAATCTCAATTCAATGTTGATTTTCTTCTACTGGATCAACAAATTGAATTTTACAAAAAAATTAATTGAAAAATAAAAGTATTTACAAAAGATAAAATAATATCCATCTCATCTATCTTGAAATATCTAATAGTACATCAGACTGTCGATTTTATTCAACAGTTCGAGCCATGCAAAATGAATAATACTTGTACAAATTATAATGATTATAGTATAGTTGGAAAACTAATCGTTAGTACCACTTTCGGATTGCCATCAGATGTTAAATCTGCACTTTTTCATGTGTACAAACTTTACACGTTACCATTTTTTATGCATAAAACAGCATATCAAACGATACAAGTACCAATATACGTTGGGATCAATATTGAAAATAAAAAATGTATCGAACTGTACGAGAGCGAAATACAACAAGCAACGTGTTATTTGGTTGATAGATTGATGTTATGCAGATTACCATTAACAATTGAAAATCGAATCAATAATTTTTGTATAAACAGTATTTCACAACAAAGTTTTTCTAGTGAAATGAATGAACATTGTTTATTTACTAAAGTTGCACGAACCACGCTGCAGATATTCAGATTATCGAGAAATACATATATATTCGGATTGAGTCATAACGTTAGTTGTACGGAGTTTAATTCAACGTTAAAGAAAAAAAGACTAATACAACCATTATCATTAGTATCCGTCTCTTGTGGAATGCAACTAAATTGCGATGACTACGTGCTGAAGTCCGATAATATGTCTTATAATTCAAACAACGAAAATGTCTATGTGGTGGCTAATGGAACGATATTCGAACACGACGTTCAAAACACGAATAAGCGGATGTGTAAAACGAGAAATTTTACAAGTATAATCGACATACATCGTTTACACAAGTTAGTAATAGAAATGAATGAAACGCGAAATTATAATAAAAATGTTTACGACAATACAAAAAAAGTATCAGTATTTAGCATACAAATGGATACAGGCACAGCTATCACATCAAGTTTTGTGGTTCAAATAATCATAGTTTTAGTGATAGGTTTCAGCTTGATAATTTATGTTCCAAAAACCCTTGGGATGTATACCAAAAATCATCAGCACCTAACTATTATTCACAGTATCATTATCATAACACCACTAATTGTCGTTCTTTTAAATATATTGTACACTTAATATAAACCGACAGTTATTATTATTAATTAGTATTCGTTATCAAAATATTATTATATTACTTGTACTTCAGTAATTCAATATTGCACAGGTACATCTACTTCTCACCAAGTAGAAAAGTTTCTATTGTATTGAAGTTAGTTTCCTCGTTATTTAACGAAAGATACACTAGAAGTGATACATAAATGCACTTAGCGAATGACATATAGCTTAGATTTACCTTCAATGTGGAAAACACTCTTTATTTTCGAAAACTTTGGTTGCAGCTCATAGCAGCAACAGATGAATTTCTTAAAAGGAGTTAGTAAGCAACCCTAAACAATATCTAGTCTTTGCTCGATTAGAAAAAACAGCAAGTTCAATTGTAGACTTTATTATAAAAAAGAGAGAAGTAACAAAAGTATAATTGCCGCAATATAAACGACCTGACAAAATATCAATAAGTAAACAAGAAAAGCGTATGGAGAATAGAAGAAAAAGAGAGACCAAAAACGACAAAAAAATAAAGAAATTTCACTAAACAGAAACAGCACCACAGTATAAGGAAAGAAACAAGAAAAGAACATAATAAGATGCTGATACTTCAAAATTCAAGCAAGATTTATTTTTCGTTTTATTATATATGATTGGATAGAGCTCCTCGAGCTGTTTAAAAATATGTGTGTGTTGAATCTTATAGGTGACACTCTCTACGAAAATAATTAACCGATCCCCCAGTAGAATAACACTCTTGACCTGCTAAAGCGGGTGACGAGTGAGAAACAAAGGAAATTTATCCACTTTCCTTGATGTACAATACAGAGAAATGGACGCCATGGTCACTCACTTTTCTGATATCAAGTTTTACAGTGCACTGATTTATATCAAGTCTATTAAGACTAGATAGGTGTGCAAAATGTCCCTCGCCATCAGGTGAAAAGAATTTGGATCATATTGTATTTGAATAGCATCAGAAATGAGTTTGTTCGACTCAGTTTTACATGTCAAATTCGAAAAAAATAGTTATGGAATTTAAAAGAAATGATAAAATTGAAAACTTGGTAATTTTTCGAAAACTGAATCTTTTTTCAACAAAACTCCCTATCGGGAAATCTGAAAAGTTTTCCCCGTAAAAATCATTCCAAAAAAATTCAACACACGCATTTTTTTAAGGGTGAATCTATTGACACTCCTAGGAGTGTCAACAAGAAGCTATTGCCACTCCCTGGGCGTGTCAACAAGGTGCTAAGATGAAGAAATCTTCTGAATATTTTCCTTGAGGTTCATAGCAAGTAGTTTTATACATTTTCACAGACTAACTGAGTATAACTATAAATAGAAAAATGTTTTGCTTTTTTTTTTTCTAATTTTCTTTTATACCCAATTCTTGAAAATGAGCGTGCAGATTTATCT